GCGAGTTGTAGCTTGGTGCTGATGTTGGAGTGCCTTTTATTTCGTTTGAGTAGACATACAGTTTTTTTACAATATTCACCAATGCTGGTGACTACGTCGTGAAATTTCTGAGAATGTACAAAGTTAACGGTCCAACGCTAGTAATTATGATAACCAATATAGCAGAGGACTTTAGACATAGTGTGTCCTAATAAGCCACTCCGACAACACAACCAAGTTACAAGAGCGGGACTACTCCACTTCTATACGTCAAAAAAGAGTCTACGAGTATACTAAAAGCCACATCATTTTGGTCTTCGTATCTTCATATATAACTTGGGGTTATTTAATGTTATCTTGCACTTATGTCCGCAGCTTGAATATTTTTTCTAAGAAATATAGGTGCCTCTTGATATTAAAATTATATTAGAGACGTATTTAAGCAAGAGATAACAAAATATTTGTGTATTTATATTTATTCAATTTGCGTTTTATCTTTTCATTCTGCGTGCATGACACTACTCCCGGCAGTGGCGTATTTTCTTAGCCTACACAGGCGCTTATCCTCTTATTGAGACGTTAGCTTTTATATATATCTATAGTGAAAAATGCAAAATCAGTAACGAATAATTTTGTTGAGCTTTATTTTATAGGAACACTGGAACTAATGCACCAGCCTCAGCACCGGTCAACAAACGGTTACAACAAACTCAGGCTCAAGTTGATGAAGTTGTGGATATAATGAGGGTAAACGTTGACAAAGTCCTTGAACGTGATAAAAAACTTTCACAGTTGGACGATAGAGCTGGTAAAATTTTATTTGCTATTTCCTATTTGACCACTTCTGCGGAAGCTCGCTAATATTCGTAGCATTTTTATCTTCCTTTTAGTTATATTTATTTTTATGTCTTTGGCTTTTATCTATGTTTTTTATCACAATTTAGTTTTAGGCCTCCTTAGATACATATTTACGTAATTCTTAATACCCTATTAATTGAATAGTTATGCCTCCCTCCAAAGAATTTGGATTGTCGATTATTTAAGAAAGAAATAAGGATTTTTAATTTTCTTTCTACAGAACCTAATTTTCTATGCTATGTATACTTGGAAAATAAAGGTCATACCATCGATTCCCCCTAATTGTACAGATATTTTGCTTGATTTCTTTTAAAAGATGCCCTTCAAGCCGGTGCGTCGCAGTTTGAGGC